CACGATGGAATGAAAACAAAATAAATGACAGCGAGTTGTTGAGGATTTAGGAAATAAGTGACCTGTCAGCTTTTTGTTAAAACCATTCTCGTGTAGCTTCATGACTTTGTATCGTTACCATCTACTGCAAGCCAAGTTTGAAAGGCAAAATAGCGGTTGACTAAAACCGTATCTGAGTATGTTGTACAGAATTATGCAAAAGCCACTGACGAGACTTAGTTTGACTAATTATCTTTTCAACTTCCGAACTCCTATCTATTTCTATAGTTTTCCTTCGAGGAAAATCATTTTTATGGGTACTTTTTGAGTAAAAATATCAGAGGGGGATGTACGAGACAGCGTTAACACCACGAAGAATACTTGCTTTTCGGCGTAACAAGGTGCAACGAAAATAGTAGCAATTGCTTTGAAAATATTATTCTATTTCATACGCGGAAGTAGACTTAACCCTGAGAACAACATTGACTGACTAGGGTGTCACTGGGAAAAAATAATTTCTCCTCGCTGATAAGGTTACTTCTTGATTAAAGTGATAAGTGAAAATATTTACTTTGGTTCGTTTGAAATCCGTCCAAGTCGATCAAACGGCTTACACTGCTTCATAATCCTGGGTTGATTCCGTGTAGCGCTATGCTGATGTGTCCAGATGATCAGAAATAGATATCGCGTATTGATTGTCTGGCAACTGTCTGATCATTCAGTTTACTAAAACCGTTCAAGCTGAACTGATAAATTATGGGCTCATGAATTTTAGAGCTGTGATCGTAGTTCATGGCAACATAAAAGAATTAATTGAGAAAGTTACCGAGAGCAGGAAAGAATTTTCAAGGTCCATTTGGTTTGTTTACCCTCTTTACTGTCACAGAGCAAAAAAATGTTGTGAATGGTGAAAGACAGTGATATTCTGAAACGGATACGTTCGTTTTCGGTCGAAGCATCGATATGACACAAATTTGAGTCTTCAAGCCCCATAATAAGGAAGGTACTATTTTGGTTAACTCTAAGGGCTCCCCGTCACACTTCGTAGAATTTTACATACTTCATGTAGGAAGGGATTGAAGGGATTACTCGACAATAGATACTAATAACACAATAATGTTACTGTTTACTGATGAAATATGTAAACAAAACGTAGAGTACAAGAAGCCGTCTCGATATTAGAGAAAAACGTAAACACTTGCGTTCTTTNATCATCGATCTGCTGGAGATCGTCGGAGAGGCCAGGGCACATGGTCCTGACATTCCAAGTTGCCAGTCTCAGCGCTGGCGGCTTTGATGTCTTTCTTCTTCTTTTGTCTGGTGCGGGATTTACAGTCCGCTCTTCGGTGTTGACCTTAGCTCCAAGCACCCATTGAAGCAGGCAGACTGTGACGGGTCAGCACCTTACTGGCTGGGGGCTGCCCAGCTTGAGGCGGGCGATAGCTGACCAGTGGGACGCGAAGATCCCTCCCACCGTCGGAGACAGCCCCTGGCGTCCGAGCTCACGCCAATACGCTCTGGGCTTATAACCGGTATCTGCTGTCTCCCGTGTTGTTTCTGTCGCTGGAACAGCGGCACTGGAGTGACCTCTCCAGGGCGCAAGCCTGGGCGGAGTGTGTGGAGATCCTGGGTTGCCCAGTCGACAGGACCCCCCTCTCGGCCTCGCCGGTGTAGTCCAAAGGAATGCAGAGCAGTACGTTTGGCACCAGGTTGGCTGCAGGAGCTGCCGGAGTCAGTGAGCACTGCACGCTGGTCCGCCTTCGGGGCTCCACTCCTGATTTGAAGGGTTTACTCCCCTACACATGGCCGTTGGATCGTCAGATCTCCTCCGCCCTCTTGCCGTTGGCTGCCTGTAGCAGCTCCTCCGCCTAGTAGTGATGCAGTGTAAACATGCACCACTACTATATGTGTACTGCGGTTTCATAAAATATACGAAAGCGTTCCTCGCTGTAATAAACCCTATTTATCTAGTAGCGACTAAGTACTGTAGACGTGACTTGTTGACTTGCCCTGTTTTGCCAACAGAAGAGCGAATATGATAGGCATGCAATGTCTACTTTCAGTGCTTATAACAAGTCTAAAATTATTAAGTCGTAAGTGAAAAAAGCTGTTCCTTCAATTTAAAACGGCAGTCACTTTGAGAATAAAGTAACCCTTTAGTTGCCTGTCATTATATTTGTAGTGAGGTCGCTGACACCAAAACGGGCTGGCTTTCTCTATCTTGGCGTTGCATCGAGCTGGTGCACTTAAAACAGAAGGATGGGTACCAGTGCGGAATTCTCATTTGTCTCACGCTCTGCACCCACACGCGACATTTAGTATTTAAGTTAAATACAAAAGTCACTATTCTCATTAAATCATGAGGTGTTAAGGTACGAAATAAATACCCTCACATGGTAACTAGGAAGAAAGTGCATTCGATTAAATATACCTTAGCAACCACTGAATTATTTTTGCCTTAAAAGGAATTTAACGGAATATTGCAAATTCTTCACTCATTTTCCCCAATGATTGATTGTTGATTTCGATCGTTTCTTTCAGTTTGCTAGATGTTTGTGTGAAGAGTCCTCCGTAGATGCAGCTTTCGAGATAGCAACCGCGAACGTGCACTAATAACGTCTATGGTGTTTGGCTGTTGTTACGATGACATCCACGAGTAAGTAACCTAAGTCATAGCTTGTTTCCAAACTGCATATCCTTTAATCTTGCTAAGCATTGGGTTCAAAGTATGAGACCTGACCCAAAAAGAAAGAAGACATACTTAAGTGAATAATAATGAAATACTTGTTCCGTCCGCTGTAGGTGAAATATCAACGTCTGCATAGTGTGCCATGACGACGATGGAGAAGATTGGCTGGGATACGACAATTGTGGCCAGTACTTCCACGCAAGTTGCATCAAAGTGGATTTGATTTCTCAGACTCCCTCCAGCTTTGTCTGCCCTTGTTAATTTCACAACATCGTTGCGGATTAGTGACGTAAATTGATGGTGGTGAATATTCTTCCCAGTGTGGGGCTGGGTTAAGACTAAGCTAGGCTGTGTACAATTCATGAAATTCCCGTTATTTCACGAATTCTTTGACGCTAAAGTGTTGACAAGTTTTTCGCGTTACGTAAGTGAAAAATTGACTCAACTCTGCAAGGAGAATCTCCCTCAAAATTTACTCTTAAAAGTCGAAGTTACAGTCCAAAATTCAAACGTTACTGTTATGTTTATTGGCGCACTGATAACCTTGTAAATAGCTCAAACGTACTGAAAACATTTTCATTCGTTTTTGTATATCTTCATCCTTTGTTCAGAACGATTTTACACACTTGGGTTTAAACTTTTAGTGGGGAACACGTACTACAGCGTACACAACGTATTCAACTTTAACCGCTGTACTATAAACTTGTGTGTTCGACCCTCGACGAACGCCTTCGATATAGCGTCACCCGCAGTAAACGGGAGGTGAATACCATCAAAATGCAGGTAGGGGAGTGTTGGATAGCTACTGAAATCTTCCCAGTTTTTCACAAAGCAGTAAAAAGGCCCTTTTCCTGCAATGTGTGAAGCTAGGCCTATCGAGATAGGTTAAATCTGTGGGCAGCGCGCGACTCAAAAGCACCATCGATCAGTTTCACTTGATCTACTGATCTACCAAAACACCACACGTAACCTTGAACGAGGGCCTTGTACATTGACGTAGCAGTGCTGACTTGCGGCAGTAAACTGAGATACTCTCTAATACTGTGGAAAATATTAAGCAGATCATGTTGAGCGCATCAATAACTTGTATATATTTGACATATATGTTGTTTGGCTGATATCTCCTCAAGGAGCGAACGTTACCA